GGCGAGCTCCGGCCGCCGCTCCCGTGCTCGCTCGGAGTCCCCGCGCCCGGTCGGATGGAAGAAACCTGTCAGGTAAGCGTGGCATCCAATATTTATAGCATCAACATTTTGGTGCATGGAAGCGTGAAATTGGGTGGAAAAGAGAAAAAAATTAAAATAAAACCCACCATCTAGTGCCCAACATAGCCCTTGGCATCGTGTACCGCCCCGTTGCAGGTTATTTCCCCGGATTCCGTGAACAGATGAATTTTGTTTCCAAGTTCCTAGCTAGCCCCTTCGCTGCTCTGGAATTCACAGGACTCCCCAGAGACACTAGACAAGACTGGGGCGCCGCGAAGCTGTCCTGAGTGCCCAGGGTGGAGTGTTCAGGGGCTTTCTGTTTCCCCAAGGACGCCTCCTGTTTAGTAGTAGAGTGCAAGCCTACAGAAGGCATTATGAATCCGGTGAGGCAGCGCTGATTACTTAGTGGGTGACAGTGCCCGTGTTCCCAAATTCGCTGTTCCTTTTACCCGTGTCTGGGGTCGCTTCAGTCCTGTCATAGGTTAGGTGCTACTCAGCTTGGTGGTCTTTGCCCAGCACAGAACTTGATACCCAAGAAATTGAACTCCCCATGGATCCAGTCAAAATGAGCATGTAGATTGATTAGGGTTCTTTGTGAATGTATATGATGCCTTCTAGTGTATTTTTAAGAATTTTAAGAAAAAAAATCAGGAAAAAGTCCAAGTCCCTTCTTCACCTGCTCTACACCCTACAGGCATACTTTTCAGCTTGGCACTGTGTGCATATTCCAGACCTTCGTTTTTTTACAAGCAGATATGTGTATTATAAATGGAATTACATGCTTACTCTTGACTTTTTTTTTTTTTTTTTTTGGCTATAAACATTGTCTTAGAATATTTAGCTCAAGCTCATTGTGAATTCAAGGCCATTCTAAACTAGATAATTAGACCCTGTCAAAAAAAAAAAGAGATGGAAAAGTGTTTGTACTGGTGACTTAAATCCTCCCCTTTGACAAACTCAGATCAATTTTAGAGAGAGGATTCTGAATGTAGTCAGTCTTTTCTCTATACCTGAAACCAGGAGTCTGAGGGCAGCAAAGGGACCTGACAGTTCCCTGGGCCCTGAGTATCCAGAGGTACACACACACACACACACACACACACACACACACACACGGAAGTCCCCAGTGAAATGTCAGAAGGTAGAAAGCCCAATTTTAAACACATCTGAGACAGAACACAGATTGATGTGGTTAAGCTCAATCAATCCCTGGAAAACAAATGCACAATTTATTTCCCCACAACCAGAAGAACAGGAAAGAGGATAAGGACTGAGGAGATACCACTGTATCCCAGTAAGTTCAACATAGAGCATGGCGATCTAGGATGAGCTAGAAATTAAACAAATGTAAACTTGCACAGATGATAGCTCATCCACTGACCCTGGATTTAGCCTCTCTCCTACCACAACCTTCTGACATTAGGATGCAAAGCTGTCAGCATGTGTCCTCCAGTATCCTCGGTTCATGGAATATGTGCATCCTGACCAACAGGATAAAGGGCTAGACCACTGGCACCTAGGCTTTCTTGTGATCTTGACATGTGATGATTCTGGGCATTCTGAGCTTCAGAATGTTTTCTTCTAGGTGAGTAAGCCCTACCAACTCACGACTTCTCTGCTCCATTTCTGCCATGCTCCCAGCTATGAAATGAAGGTTAATTGAAGTGTGGCACTTGCTGGTTTGAACTCTCAGTATTATTCAGATTTTATAGTCAAGATTTTTGAATAAGAAGCTAAGTAGATTTTTTAAACCAGAATTCAAGAAATAAAGGATAGGGCCGGGGAGATAGCTCAGTAGAATAAGCGCTTGGCTGGCAAGCACAAGGGCCTGAGTTCAATCCTCAGTTCTGCAAAAAAAAAAGAAAGAAAGAAAAAAAAAAATAAAGGATAACTTCCTAACCTCCAGTTTCTGTGTCTGAAATTTAATTGTTGAATATTAACATATTTTATTAATAGTGATTTGTATTGTTATTGTTTAATATTGAAGTTTTTAGAGTTTTTGCTTGTAAAAGAAATAAAAAACCAGATAAATGTATATTCTAAAAATCAATTTGATTTCCTTTCTTCTACTTAATGGTACTATACACTTCTGTTGCCTGAATTTTTCTAAAGTTGTAGTTTGTAATAAAATTTAAATTGCACAGATTTCTGTGATATGTGTATTAAGGTTTTTAATTCTCTAAGTAATTACGCTACATAAAATGCATTATCATGAGTGGTCTAGATATTTAGATTTTTTTAATATATATTAGGATTACCGATAATGCAAGATGCTTAAAAGCAATCAACGAAAAGGGTGTTTACATATCTAGAAGGTGTTTACATATGTAGAAGAAAACTGTTATATATGAACAAATCATAAAGCTAAGTGAACAAATCTGGCACTTGCTAAGGGGATAAAGCAGGTTCCAGGGTCTTCTTGTAGACACCAGGGCCCAAGGACCTGCACAATGAAGGTTTGTCATCTACACGCGTCCTTTACTCTCCCTCTCTGCCCCTGCTTCTCAGTTTTGCCATCTGAATCAGAAAAATTACCTTTCTGATTTAAGTTTCATTTCTTAGCTCTGTGGCTTGAGAATGTTTCCAATCCTGTCCTCTAATTTGTCCAATTTTATGACAAGAAACTGCTCTTATTTACGTACATATTTTAAGCTAAATGAATAGTCTTTCCAGGAACTGGGAGTCCTATATAAACACAATCTATGTGTGTAACAAAGACCTGCCTTAGGAGGGTTGTCCCCTCTAAAGTTAGGGTCCAGCTTTGAGTGATTATATGTGTGCCAGGTCGCTTCTAGGGCACTCTCTTAGCCAATTTGCTGGCAGAATGTCATGTGTCCCAGACAGCCATTTGAGATAATCATGGATATGGTACTGAGCAATCCAGGGGTACTCTTACAGAAATTGTGTAAATGTGTTTGTGAGGAAAAGTAGTACCATATACAAGACAGTTGCAAGAAACTAGTACATATTTTTACTGTTTGTGCCTTGTCTCCTGGATCTTTCATGGCACCAAGAGGGAGTCAGGACAGAAAGAGAGAGGAGCTTTAGTTGTATGTGACCCTCTTGCCCTTTTCATTTTTGCCTTGCCTAATGACAGTTTTCAATCCTGTAATTCCTATGCAAATTAAACTTTAAGTCCCACCCCCTTCCTGTGAGATTGTTCAACCTAAGCCCCTCTCATTGAAATTCTGAAAATTTCAGGATCTACAGAATATTTTAAGCAAAAGCTCAGCAAATGCATGCTCCCTCCTCTTGAGTAGCCTGTCAAGGGAAAAGGAGAGCAGAAACAGACAAGGCTAATTTAGTTGTAGAATAAAACCAACACATTGTCCCAAGGGAGTTAATGTCCGCCTCAGTCTGGCTAGCATCCATTTCAAGCTGGTTCAGTGCTTTAGCTTGAAAGTATTATGGGAGATTGGAAGTATAAAAGATGCTTCAGGGCCAGGGAGATGGCTCAGTGCAATAAGTGCTTGCCTGGCAAACGCAAGAGCTTGAGTTCAATCCCCAATTCCGCAGAAAAGAGAGAGAGAGAAAGAGAGAGAGAGAGAGAGAGAGAGAGAGAGAGAGAGAGAGAGAGAGAGAACAAGAACAATTCAGCATAATAGCATGACCACTGGTGGAAGAGTAGCCTGCCTAGAACAGCTGCCAGGGTTGAGGGAGGGAAAGAAAGGGAAGGCTATAGGGAAGGGCAGCAGGGTGACCACAGACTCCTCTCATGCATCTGAGCTTTCAGGTAATACTGCCTGCTTCAGTCAAAGTTGGCTTTAGAGCTCTGCAGAGACACATAAGAGCCAAGACTTTCCTGGCCTCATCCCTTGGGATTATCTCTCAGGAAGTTGGGTTTAAGCAGAAGTATGCACTTGCACCATGAAATCTAAATGAAAGTGTGACCTATTGGAGACCACCACTTATTTCTCAATTGGTAATCCCCGCCCTCCTAGTTCCTTGGGTAATCACCATTAACCAGTTGACGTATATTCCTTCATGTGGACTTTTTTCTGTAAATATACCACTTGAAGAAGATCCACATTTTTGCCATGAACAGTCACAAATCTCTCTAGCAGAGACAGCAAGATAGGTATAGTGCTGCATGCCCGTAATCCTGGTATTCTAGGAGGTTGAGGTAGGAGGGTCGAAAGTTTCAGCTCAGCCTGGGCAACTGAATATCCCAGTCTTAAAATTTAGAGGGTGGGAGTGGTGGCTGGGGTGGTGCAAAGGCCCTGAGTTCAGTCTCAGTACTGCAGAGGGGTGTAGGGAAGGAAGGCAAAAGGTAAGGGAAACTTCACCTCCCCTGGGTTTTGACCAATCTGCTATGCTTTCTCTTCCTTTGCATTCACTTTGTTTCTCCTCTCATTTTTCCACACTTCTGCTAAGACTACACTTACTTTCCTGTGGGTTCTTCTGGGTTTCTGCTTTCCTTCCTGAGGTGGAGACACATCCCTAGTCATCTTCTTAGATATTTTTGCATTGTAACTTTTGCTGTTGCCAGCCAGTCCTGTAGGACAGCGTGAGGCCAGTTCTTATGGAGAGCAGTTTGACCTGAGGCGGAAAATTCTTGTGACTTTCTCTTTAGTCAGTTAACAGTTAAACAGAAAGGGTACACTGAGACTCTCCAAAGTGGAGGTTATGAAATAAGGGATTTAATCATTAAAAAGTAAGCCGCTTGTGTCCCTCTCTCCCCTCCTACCCCCCACCTCCAGTCCCCTAGTAACTAAGTAGTGGTGCATTTCTTAACTTCTGCTCGCCTCTCATCAACAAATCCGATATTCAAGACAAAGTGTGGAGACAAACAAGAGGGCAGATGCTGCATGACCTCTCTTCCCATGGAGCTGTGCCCCTCCATACTCGCCCGTCCACTTGAACCCAGAGAATAACCTGCGTGAAGTGCATTCTCGCATCTGCAGAGCAGACACCACTGTGCTGGCCTTTGCTTGAGAAAGGATAAAGGAAGGGAAGCCGCAGCTGCTGTAGGCACAAACAGCGGACAAGCCTCACTGTGTGGCCCCTTCACAAAAGGAGCTGCAGAAAGTCGGCCAACAGATGTGTATGCCGAAGAGCCATCCGCAGATCCACCTGCCACGGCAATTAGTTAGATGTGTAAAGAACTGTCTAGGTGAAGTGAACTGAGACTCTAACCAAAGCATATTTCCAACTCCTGTAGTATGGCTTTAAAGATCACCTCATCCCACTGTAACCTACTCCTTTCAATTTCAAGGTCAAGTCAGGGAGGCCCAGGAAAGTCAGAGAGGGAAGATTTATCCCCTTTCTAGACTGTGTATATTATGATAAAACTTGAGGTTTTATTTTTATTTTTAAAAAATCTTTATTATTATTATTGTTATTATTTTTTGGCAGAACCGGGAATTGAACTCAGGCTGAGCTATCTCCCTGGGTCCCCAAAAGTTGAGGTTTTAAAAATATTTTTTCCTGGTATATGTTTTTTCTTAAATAATTTTTTATTCATATAAAGTCATATTCAACAACCAGCAACTGAAATGAATAGACACTTCTCAAAAGAAAAATGGCCAATAAATGCATAAAAAATGTTCAACATTGCTGGCCATTAGAGAAATGCAAATTAAAAGAACACTGAGTTTAAGGGACAGTGAGATAACTCAGCCAACTAAGCACCTGCTTAGGCAAGTGCAGGGACCGGGGTTTAATCCCCAGGTACCACATTCCTTGCCAGCCCTGCCCCTGGGCACACTGAGCCAGCCATGGATCCTGGGTGTGGTGGTACATGTGTATAATCCCATGCTGGGGAAGCTGAAAGCAGGAGGATCGCTATGAGTTGGAGCTTCATAGTGAGACATTGTACCAAATACATGAAAATAATAATAATAATAATAATACAACCCAACACTGAGATTCTCTCTTACTCCAGAAAGAATGAATATCAAGAAAGCAATAAATCAATGCCAACAAGGCTGCAGAGGAAAGGAACTTTCTATATTATTGGTGAGAATGTAAACTAGTAAGTACCATTATAGAAATCATTATGAAGACAACTGAACTCAACTGAACATAGAAATCCCACTTAACCCACCTAGAGCCCTTCTAGTTATCTTCCCAAGAATTAAAGACATACTACACTAATGTGTGATACCCATGTGTGTAGCAGCACAATTCCTAATACCATAATCTGTGTCCCTGTCTAGCACCCTCTAGGTCCCTCAACAGATGAATGCATAAAGAAAATGTGGCATACACCCTGGGCTACTACTCTGATACAAGGATAAATCTGAGTCATCTGTTGGAAAATGGGTGCACCCTGAGACCTTGTTAAGTGAAATAAATCAGATATACAAGCTTAAATATGCATCATTTCTCCTTTATAAGAAACCAAAATTAAAAAAAGGTAAGAGAAAGTAGATCTTCTCCAAATGGGCAGGGGATCAAGATGGAGGTAAAAAAAAAAAAGGATGAAAAGGGGATTAAAAAGAATTCAGATGTCATGTGCATGTACCAGCTCTACACAGGGAATGTAAACATTATGGAATGCAAACATGTACTAGTTAAAAAAAAAGTCTAGGTCACGTGGCTTGAAAATATCTGAATTGGGTTTTGGTCTCAATGCATTGGTACCAACCACAAAAATAATGTTCTTGATCAAGGCCCAAGTGATGAGGAGGACACAGGAATTTGTTCTCATTGGTTTCTAAAGTACATTAACTTTTATTGAAAGATGTATCCTTACAAACTTGTATAAATACCCTTGACTTTAAAAGGCAGGGGGTATAAGCAAAGCCACATGATTCACCCCAACATGCTGCAGTGTTACTTTGATATCATAAAATGCAGCTAAGGCTTAGTCTCCAGCGAGGGCCAGATTCTCCTGCTGATCTCCCCTAGCCTTCTGGTCCACATCATCCTGCAAACACAAACCCTACTTCCAAAGCAATTCATTTTCTTCTATTACTATAGTTCAAGACCTGAAGGTTCAGGTTATGCTACATTTGTAGATTTTCAGCCCAGAATCTTGTACTTAAGCCTTTCCTTAAAGACCACTAATTCTTTTTCACGTTATTGTTTTGGCCCATCTTTCCACATCCATTTCCCTCCTGATGAGTCTGTGAAACTTACTCAAACAAATATAAGTAAGTGGTGTAAATACAGAGATGCTAGGGCCTGGGATGATGCCCACCACTCACCTACCTACAACTGAGCACTCTAAGTGCTGGTCCCAGGGACTAGACCATGGGCCTTCTCACCCACCCACATCCCCAGGCCTTATTTTTTACATTTTCAGGCAGTATCTCACAGATCAAAGTTTCCAAGGTGGAACTGGAACTTAGATTCCTTCTGTTTCAAGCTCCCAAAGAGCAGAGATCTGGGTAGAACTGTCCAGATGCTGTAATCGTGGTTCGTGCTTATTCTGTCATGTCGCGCTCTCATGATTTCCTTCCTTAGAAGCAGCACTTCCTGTCAACCCTATTAAGCCTTATTTGTTCACTTTTTTCCTTTTTTTGTGACGTACCAACCTTTAATACTCCCTGGCCTCTAGGGCTAGCATGGCAGTGACACATTGGCATGATAGCAGGGAGAGCAAATATCAAGGATACAGGGCTGAATGAATTCTCTGCCTGTGATCCATTTGGGTGAGGCCAGAACAGTCTTTTTTTTTTTTTTTTTTTTTTCAGTCCAGTCTTAAAAAGATTAATCTAATAAAAAAAGTACTCACCTGCTTCTAGTTATATAATCAATTTTATTTTTTATTTTTTTTATTTATTTATGTGTGTGTGTGTGTGTGTGTGTGTGTGGCCAGCTCAGCCCACCAGGGGGCGGGGCTGGCTGGCATGTGGTGCTGGGGGATTGAACCATGGTCCCTGTGCTTTGCTAAGCTTGTTCTAAGTAGGTGCTTTAGACCACTGAGCCATCTCACCAGCCCCTATAATCAATTTTAATACAACCATTCAATAGGGCATTTTTCCTATCACTTCCAAGATTTCAGCTTTTTCTGCTGCTGTACACATAAATAGCTTTACTCTATTCTGTCTTCTTTTAACCATGACAGAATTCCAGAATCTCTGGCAACTTTTGTACTTAGGAACCCCTTTCCCTGTTATAGTTATTTTCACCCATACCTCTGGTAAAAACATGACTGTAATATGTAAGAGTAATCATAAAGCAGAATGGGATCTGAAAAAGACAACAAGCAAGGATTTAGGTCAGGATCCGAGTCACTTGGGCACCAGAGGCATCCTAAGCCATCTTACTCTGTACTACTAGACTTCTGTGTGTGTGTCTTTGGTGTTGCTAGAATGCCTCATCACAAAGGCCATAGTGAAATCGACTGAAACCCTGGCTGGATGCCACACAGCCTCTCATTTCAAACACCTCCTGGAGTATGTTTTAAGGTACTCCTTATACACACAATATTTCATCGGGTGTTTATCATCAATGGCAAGCCCCACAAATTTAGAGGGGAAGCCCCCAAAATTGCAATTTTCAGAGTTTTGTTTATATAGTGTCTGTTGATTGATAGAACCAAGATGTGGAAGATGGAGACAACTTTTTTGGTAGCAAATTTTCCCCATTTTTTTTTTTTTGGCGGGGGGGGGGTAACCAGGGATTGAACTCAAGTCCTTTCACTTGCCAGGCAAGTGCTTATTCCACTGAGCTGTCTCCCTGGCCCCATTCCCTATCTTTTGTCAAATAAAATAACATGGTAAACTATGATTTGAGAAAATTTCCAAAGAGAATAAGTTTTTTTCCCACTTAAGAGACTTGCTGGGAAAAAAAAAGACAGTGAATTTTGCTCTGTGGAAGTCAGATCAGGAACAACTTGTGTTTTAAGACTCATCAGCTTTTGGTAAATTTTTATTTTAAAAGTTTCTAAATTTGGCTCCTGGCAAAGACAAGGTCCTGAGCTCAATCCTAGTTCAATCCTACAAAAAAATTTTCCTAATTAAAAAAAAAATTGGCAGGAGCTTCAGTTGCCAAATAATGTTTAGAAAAACATATAATTGTATATCAAAATAACATGTATATTAAGTAAAAATCTTTCAGTTATAGTAAGATTTATAATGAAAACCAATAGTTGCCCACTCTCCATTCTACTCTTTCCCAGTTATTTTTTTCTGAAACAAGGCCTCACTTTGTAGTTCAGGCTGCCCCGAATGCAGCATAGCCCCGGCTGGGGATGACAGGTGCCTGCCACTGTACCCTGCCACACTCGACTACTTTGAACTGTTTTTTTTCAGTTATGGCTCCAAGCCATGTAAACTACACTGTATTGTATTTGTATCCTCACTTTCTTATACAGGTGTCTTTCTGGAGTTCATAATTTCCTATTCCAATTTAGATCAGTTCTTTTGTTTGATATATATATTCTGTTGCCATCTCAAGATTTTTTTATTAGAGTCAGACTCATTGTACTTTTTCCCCAGTACAAGGGATCAAGCCCCAGGATCTGATTGAACCCAAGACCTTCAACTGAGCTGCATATGTAGCCGTTTTATCTTGAAACAACTTGCTAAATCACTGTGTGCTTGAACTTTCATCCTTCCACCTCAGCCTCCCCGAGTGCACTTGTTTTACCGTTTCTTGTACTCCTATCTTTTTTTTTTTTTTTTTTTTTTTTTTTGGTTGCACCTTTGTGTTGCTACAGTAGATCTAAGAGTAATACCAGACTGCAAGTTTTCTGGTTTCTTAGGTTTTTTTTTTGTTTTCGGGGGGGGGGTCTACAGGGTGTTCAGGGTCTCACTTTGTACAGTGGGATTACAGGCATGCCACCACGCCCAGTCTCAGTTGCTGTTTCATTGCGCCCAAGGCGGGGCCCACACGGAAGGTGGCAGTCTGGAGATTGAATCCCCAGCCCCTGCGCCTGTTTGCAGGCGCTATAATCCACTAAGTATTTGGCCAGCCCTTTTCTTACACTTTGGCAGAACCGGGAATTGAACTCAGGCCCTTGCGCTTGCCAGGGAAGCGCTTATTCCACTGAGCCATCTCCCCGGCCTCTTACACTTTTGAAGCAACTTTTATTTTGCTCTTTCTTGATAGTTTGAATAGAGGATTGTAAATTTACAATAATTTTTCCAACATAGCTTTGAAGATAACTGTTCTATCTTTTAGCATACAGTATGGTTGATGAGTCAGTCTAATGCTAAATTTTGTTTTCCCTTATGAAGCGTTTAGAACATTTTATCTTACACAGTATTTTAGTGGTTAAGAATCTAAGACATATGACCTAGAACAAATATCCTAGCTCCTCTACTTACTATATTTTAAGGATGTAGCCCCATAGCAGAGTCTTATCTAGCATGCATAAAGCCCTGTGCTCCATCCCCAGCACTGAAAAACAATGAAAATGAAAAACTAAAACAAGGTCTTCCTGGGCCTGGGACAAGACACTTGTAATCCCAGCATTTGGGAGGCTAAGATAGGAGGATCACAAGTTTGGGGCAAACTTGGGCAACTTATTTAGCAAGACTGAAAAACTTTCAAAAAGGAGTAGGGGCTGAGGATGTAGCTCAGTGTAAAGGCTCTTGGCTTAATCTCCAGATCCTCAATGACACAGGGAAAAAACCGCATTGCAATAAAGTGGTCTCTCGTAGTTTTTGTGCTCTCCATATAGAATACATTTATGATAAAAATGTTGACACTAAGCCTTCCTTTTAGTCCAACAGTTTAACAGAAAACTACTGATAAAGTTTTTGAGGAGTCAAAAAGCTTTATACAGGGGATGGGGAGATAGCTTTGCAGCGTAAGTGCCTGCCTAGCAAGCTCAAGGTCCCAAGTTTGATCCCTGGTACCACCAAACTGTACAGTGAGACCCTGTATTAAAAAAAAAAAGTTTTTTAAGTTACACACAGGTTATTTTTAATACTAGGGATTGAATCCAAGGCTGTTATACTGAGCAACACCCTCAGCCCTTTTTATTTTTCAAGACAGAGTCCAAATGGCTAAATTGTTGATCTGAGATCAAATTCCTAATTGCCAAATTGAATTTGTGATCTTCCTGCCTCAGCTTCTCAGTGTTAGGAGTACAATTGTGCGTCCACACATTGATACACAGATTTCCAACCACACTGTGAAAAAGCCAGTTGTACTCTTCGAGTTTTAGACCGTGTACATGTTACATAAGAGATATGCTTCAAGTGGATGCTCAATCCCATAGACCAGTGGTTCTTAGCCCACAAAACCTAGGTCAACCCTGAAACAATAAACTATGCCCCAGTAGTTCGGAAGCTGACAAAGCTTGATGTTAAAATGATTCTGTGGCTGCTGAGATTTGAGAAAATCTAAGCAAAACTAAAGTAACAAACAGTCATTTTTATATGCCTAAGCAATCAAGTCATTTTGCATTTAAGGTAACCCAAATTCCCAGCCATAAAAGGAAATGGTTGGAAATGGCCAATATTCTATTTACATGAAAAAGTCTAGACTGTTGCATTATCACGTTTTTAAAATGTAGTCATGTAATAATTTTAACTGCTAAAAGTATTAGTCACTTTATGTATGAAGTTAGACTAAGCCATGGGCTGGTGACACACACCTGTCATCCTATTAATCTAGAAGGCTGAGGCCCAAGTTCAAGCCCAGCTATTGTAGGCTTATTTTGAGAACCTGTCTCAAAAAAACTAGGAAAACGTCAAACTGACTTTTAAACTCTAAGAACTTAATGTGAGGAATTAAATCAGTTGACATCTAGAGTCTGATTCTAATGATTCTCAGACACAGTTGCCACCTCTTCTCTAGTAGAGGATGATCATGATTCAGATTAGAGAACTGCAAGAACTTGCAAACAGGCAAGGCTCTGGTAAAACAAAGGTCCTTGTAATTTGGAGACAACTAGGGAAACAGTGCTTTTTTCTCTCACACCAGCTGTGTCATGTACATGCTATATCTTCATGTGTGATTTTAAAAAATGCTTTTCTAGACATACCACATCCCTATGCACAAAAAAGACAAAGTTCTTAGAAAAGAGAGCCTGAAGATCACTGTGGTATAACCTCATTTTTACAGATAAACCAATGCTCAGAAGGGAATATTACAGAAAAGTTTGTAGACAACAGGGAAAAACAACAGAAGAGGAGGGGTACTGACAAGATACGGACAGCTGGTACAGTGGACATACACGAGATGGTAAATGGTGTGAGGGCTATGTCAGAGGTGGCAGGTGACCACTGGCTGGCTGTTCTTACACAATCCTACACACCTCTCGATATTTAATTATTATACAAGATCTAGATATCAGTCAGACTCTATCCATGAATTGAACATAGGAACATTACTAGGGAATTAGTATCACATTGACTGTGTGTGTGTGTGTGTGTGTGGTACCAGGGATTGAACTCAGGACCTTGAGCTTGCCAGGCAGGTGCCACACTGATTTTTTCTCCTACACATGAAAACTATTTTGAGTTGGGCACTGTGGTGCATACCTATAATCCCAGCAATCAGGAGGCTGATCATGGATCTTAACTAAGTTCAGTGCTAGGCTGGGCTACACAATGAGACCCTATCTCAAAGAATAAAAACTAACCCCCCCCCCCAAAAAAAAGTAGGTAATTTGCCATCATTCCTGACCAGAGAGGATTTTAACTGATAGTTCATTCTATCTGAAGCAAATATATTTCTTTTCTCAGAAATCAAGTTTTATCTATATTTAGCCTTCTGAGATGAGATACATACCTTTTACATCTCCCTCACTTAAGGACACAGCTTAGTGCTGCTAGTATGCTCCTGGCCACAACTACTTTGCGTGCAGAAGCCACGAGATGCATTGTCTCCTATCTTTGACAGGTTTGAGCTAAGGACAAAACAGAGCTTGTCCAAGTTGGGCATTTGCCCTAAGCATCAAATAAACTGCATTTTTAAATGTAAAATTCAACTTATATTGTTTTAATATTGTATGTGGCTTTTTGGTACACATTATAATAAGCATCTTAAGCTTTTACTTATAATTCTGTACCTACCAATTAATTTATAACTCTGCTTCATTAAGACTATGTTTAAAAAAAAGTATCACTGCTTTGGTTTTTTTTTGAGATCCAGTCTCCCTGTGTAGTTTAGGCTAGCTTTAAATTCACTATGTAGAGGCCCTAAATAGCTCAGCGGATTAAAGCCCCTGCAAGCAGGTGCAGGGGCTGGGGACACAATCCCCTGGCCTGCCGGGCCTGCCGTGCCAGCCCCACCCCCAGGGCATGCTGAGTCAGTTTCCACGCCTTTAATTCCAGCATTTGGGAGGCTGTAAACAGGAGAATCACTACAAGTCCACCTAGTAGTGAGACCCTGAACACCCTGTAGACCCTTCCCTAAATATAGAAAAAATTAAATAAATAAATTCACTATGTAGTCTAGGCTGGCCTCAAACTGACTCATCCCTTGCCTCAGCCTCCTGAGTGCAGGGATTACAGGTGTGTACTATCATGCCTGGCTTGGTTTATTGTATTTCAACACTTTAACTTTATATAACAATTTGTAACAGATACCTATCTTATTTGCATATGGTATATAAATGGATTTCTATCTTATAAAATGCTTTACAGGGGCCAGCAAGATAGCTCAGCGGATTCAAGTGCCTGCTTACGCAGACTCAGGGACCAGGGTTCAATCCCTGCTGTGCTATGCTGGCCCCACCCTCAGAGTACAGTGAGATGGTGACTGAGACATGGTGGTGCATGCCTGTAATCCCAGTGCTTGGGAGGCTGAAAACAGGAGGATCACTACAAATCCGATCTGTGTAGCGAGACCCTGTACTAAATACATTTAAAAAAAAAAATCAATAAAACTATGGTTAGCTTCTAAATTATCTTTAATTTTTGATGTCAAACATTTAGGCTGTTAAGGTGCATCTAGCTGTCGCTCTCTTATCTACCTAGCAACAAACAAGCAATTAATACAGGCAGGAGTTTACTTAAATCTTTACTAGAAACATTCCTACCTAGAAAAATTATACAGGAAAAACAAGATTAGGGTGACCCTAAAGGAATGTGTTTTAAAGATGTCAGCTGTCAACTCTTAGAAGCAAAGTATACGACTAATGCTGATGAAGTTAAAATGTAAGGTTTCTTTTTTTTTGTGAAACCGGGGATTGAACTCAGGCCCTTGTGCTTGCCAGGCAAGTGCTTATTCCATTGAGCCATCTCCCCGGCCCCTGTAAGGTTTCTTAAGACAAAAAAAGTTTGTAAGTATTTAAGAATCATATCACACATGAACATAACGCAACTAAGCATTTATTATATTGTTTAAGAAGAAAAGCAAGAACAGTAGTATTTTAGAAGCTATATTTTTAATGCAATATATGTTCATAAACTTTCTAGACAGTATTTTAAAATATACAATCTCTCCAAAAGAAAATATTCAACTAACGATAACATAGGTAACTTTTAATGTAAGTAAAACATTACAGGATGTTAACATGAGTTATCATCAGGTTTTTCACAGCACAATGTACAGAAATTTGGGAGTTTCCTGTACAGAATAATCTTACTCTTGAGCCAGCCGTTCAATAACACGCCGGTAATCTTCCACTAATTCCTGAAAGCTTTCTTCCAGCTGTTCATGTTGCATGCTTATTTCTATTTGGTTCATCTGGTTTGTCAATTCTTCTGGCCTGAGACATTTTCTCATCTTAGCAAGATCTCTCTGCTTTTTCTAAACAACAAATACATTTATTAGACTAAGCAAACAGATCTATTTTTTTCCTACAACTTTAAGTCTTCAGTGTTAAAAATGAGTGTAGAAATATGCCCAAAGTTGTTCTGAAGAGGCTTTTTTATTTTTATGGTGCAGGGATTAAACCCAGGGCCTCACACATGCTGGGCAAGTGTTTAGTCACTAAGCTATATGCCCAGTCTGTTTTTTTTTTTAACCCCTTGAAGCTTACCCACTTACACATCCAATTATTTAAATATAGAATGACAAAAAATTGTGTACTTTTTCATTAGTTTTTGTAAGACAATAGGAAATGTAAAAGTGACAATACTCACCACAAGAATCACTTGGAATAAACTATTAAGTGGTTAAAAGTTGTTAACCATGAATGGCAAATCCTCTAATAAGACCTGGTTTGTGTCAAATAAAATGATTAATACAGACATAGGACTAGTAGCCTCCTTCTAAAGCATAATAAAAAAACTAACCAGTGTCAGGAGTATAGCTAAGTAGTAGAATGCCTAGCATGCATGAGGCCCAGTTTTGATCCCCAAAAGGGGAATAAAACAAAACTAATCTTTGGCCTGGCCAGTATAGACACATACCTACCTTCCTTCCTTCCTTTTCTTGATCTTTTTGAGAGAGAGTCTCATTATGCAGTTCAGACTGGCCTTGAGCTCACTCTGTAGCCCAGGTTGGTCTGGAACTTGCAACAATCTTCCTACCTCAGCACCGAAGTGCTAGGATCACAGATGTGCACCACCACACCCAGCATCACATTTCTTTATTTTTATTTTTTTACATTTCTTTATTTTATTTTATTTTTCTTTAAATAAAACACCTTAACTGAAGAAAGGCAAGTGTTGTTATATGAAACTACTTATTTTACTGTATGCACTTCCTTGCCACTATGCCACACTCTAGGTTCCCTTGCCCAGTGATATATTTATGGACATATGAGGTATGATCAAAATATGCATTGAATGTTTAAAACAATAACTACAGTAAGATGTACTGCTGTCATTAAGCCTCTCAAAATACTCCCCTTTGCTTTGCACACACTTATCCCACTGTTTCTGCCACTTTCTAAGGCAGTTCTATAGGTCCTCTTACATGTCTTCATGAAGTATGATAAAAAATGCAATGAATGGTGCCATCTGAAAGGTAAGCTCGTAGAAACATGACAGTGTATCTTCATCTACTTTAGTTACTTGACCTGATGTGAAAGGTAAATTGTCTTCAATTTATTTGGGATATCAAAATAGCCATGAAAGTACAACTAAAGACATTAACAAAAGAGGATTTCCAGAATGGCTTCAGAAAGTGGCAAGAGTGATTGAAGAATTATATTCAAAGTGAAGGCAAGATTAAATGGCAGTGCATCTTTTATTGTAAGAAATGTTTTAAAATTTGAATACTCAGTTTTCAAGCACACCTAATAGTAATTTTAACTAACTGTTGGAAGTTCCACAAAAGCAAATAAAAATCATATTTAAATAGTATACATTAACTAGCACTTACTTAATCTCTCCTATTTTATAATACCTTCCATATTTTATTAAGGACAACAACATTAAGCTGGAGGAATGTGCACTAAGCAGTGGTAGCAAGCTTGTGCAGGACACTGTAGCAGGATAGTGATGTTGAGGATGGAAGCAATTGGAGGACTAAGCAGCTGTCTGCAGGTGATGGAAGGCTAAATAAAGTGAGCAGTGGCAGAAACGGGACAGGGTGGCTTTAGGGGAGAAAGTACTAGATGATATGGAGAAGGAAAAAGAAAAGTAATTTCAAGACTCCTTGTTAGGTGGCAATAGTGCAATATATAAAACTTTCATGTTTGGATAAATTGTTCTAGGTTATCATATCAGTTCTCTTTTACTAACAGCATGAAATAGAGTAGGTTTTATGGACATTAGAAATCAGATACTAAAAAAAAAAAAAAAAGGAAGAAATCAGAGATACTAACTTATATAGTATAATCCTAGCCAACTCTTAAGAGGTTCAAGATGGAAGAGAACGGAACAGGAGTCAGTTTCTTGCCCAAGCTTGTTTGCTAGTGAGCTGAGAAGCCTGGGACTAAAAATGTAACAATCCACTTACACGTCTTAAATTTTTAGTGTCTGTGTCAACTTGCCTTTCAAAAGATAATTCAAACAAAATAATCCTG